AACCCTTTAAGAGTAAGCTGAACTGGGGTGCCTGGGTGACTCAGTGGGTTAAAGCCTCTGCCTTCGGCTTGGGTCCTGATCCCGGGGTCCTGGGATGGAGCCCCGTATCAGGCTCTCTGCTCAGCAGGGAGCCTGCTTCCCCCTCTCTCTCTGCCTGCCTCTCGGCCTACTTATGATCTCTGTCTGTCAAATAAATAAATAAAATCTTAAAAAAAAAAAAAAAGGGTAACCTGAACTGAGTTTACCAGCAAGAGAAAACATCTGTCTCTTTTCATGTATATATGACCCAACACACCTGCCTATTATAACGCTCCACTGTTTCACAATTGCAGGTATCACATAATACAAGCATCATTCACATGTCTATCTTCCTATAGTAATTCCTTGAAAGCTGACACTTCCCATCTCCAGTGCTGATACTGAACTGTATGGGATAGTAATATCTGATGGTCCCCTCAGAAAGCTACAATGTTGATGTAGTACTTATACATACAAGTTTGAGAGAAAAGGTTCAAGTGTATCTAAAATTCCTGGTGGGCTCTAAGATCTAATAAAGTTTGATCAAATAGAATCAAATACTTTTATAGCAAAATATGCTATTTATAAAAGGCAAGTTAGCATATTGGTTAAGAGTCTGGACTTAGGAATCAGACTGACAGAAAGTTCAAATGTGGGATTGAGAACTTACTAGCTTATAACTGTGGACGAGTTACTTAGCCTCCTTGGACCTCAGCTTCCTTATCCATGAAAGAGAGATAATTATAATTATCACTTCATAGAGTTCTTAAGAGGATTTCTGAGTGAATACCAAAAAAGTGCTTAGAAAAGTGCCTGTCATATAGTGAACACTGTAACAATGTTATATATTTTTAACATTCTATTTCTTGAGCACCTCATTGGTATCAGATGAGTACACCATTTACTTTTACAGTTGAAGATACTAAGTGTGAGGTTAACTTGCCCAGCACAGAACAGCTAATAAATTTAAATAGAGGAGGGGCTTAAATTTGACTCCACAGTCTATGTTCTATCCATGGACACACTGTAGCCCAAAGCCAACCTGTCATGTATTCACCTGTTAAATTTTCTATGGATTTGAAGACATATAAATGAAATTCAAGAAGAAGCAAACTGGTTAATAAAGTATGCTGAAATAACACGAAAGGCTGAAAACAATTTAAACATTAAACCCTATTTTTAAAATTTTTTTCAGTGTTCCAAGATTCATTGTTTATGCACCACACCCAGTGTTCCATGCAATACGTGCCCTCCTTAACACCCACAACCAGGCCCTCTCAACCCCCCATTCCTTTCCCCTCCGAAACCCTTAGTTTGTTTCTCAGCGTCCATGTGGTCTCTCTTGGTTTGTCTCCCTCTCCAATTTCCCCCAACTCACTTCTCCTCTCCATCCCCCTATGTACTCTGTGTTAGTCCTTATGCTCCACAAGTAAGTGAAACTGTATGATGCTTGCCTCTCTCTGCTTGACTTATTTCACTCAGCATAATCTCTTCCAGTCCCATCCATGTTGATAGAAAAGTTGGGTATTCATCCTTTCTGATGGAGGCATAATACTCCATTGCGTATATGGACCACATCTTCTTTATCCATTCATCCGTTGAAGGACATCTTGGTTCTTTCCACAGTTTGGCTATTGTGGCCATTGCTGCTATGAACACTGGGGTACAGATGGCCCTTCTGTTCACTACATCAGTATCTTTGGAGTAAATACCCAGTAGTACAATTGCACGGTCATAGGTAGCTCTATATTTAATTTCTTAAGGAAATCTCCACACTGTTTTCCAAACTGGCTATACCAATTTGCATTCTCACCAACAGTGTAAGAGGGTTCCCCTTTTTCCACATCCGCTCGAACACTTGTTTACTATCTTGTTAATTTTGCCATTCTAACTGGTGTAAGGTGGTATCTCAATGTGGTTTTGATTTGAATCTCCCTGATGACTAATGATGATGAACATTTTTTGATGTGTCTGTTAGTCATTTGTGCATCTGTTAACCATTTGGATGTCTTCTTTGGAGAAGTGTCTGTTCATGTCTTCTGCCCATTTTTTGACGTCATTTCTGTTTCGTATGTGTTGAGTTTGAGGAGTTCTTTACAGATCTTACATATCAGCTCTTCACCTGAAGTGTCATTTGCGAATATCTTCTCCCATTCCATGGGTTGCCTCTTTG